AGGAAGGAAGGAAGGAAGGAAGGAAGGAAGGAAGGAAGGAAGGAAGGAAGGAAGGAAGGAAGGAAGGAATTCTCCGGTGGGCCAGGAGTGGGCCAGTCCTCATGCTGGAGATTGGCTCCTCCTCCTGGTGCAAGGTCAGGAAGGGGAGGGGCCTATCCCTCAGGACTGGCCCAGTTTTTTCTGGCCCTGCTGTAGGAGCAGGACGGGCTCAACAGCGCTCTAGCAACCACAATGATCCAGAGCAGTGGCATGAGGCTTGGGCCACGATTGGCGGCAAAAGGGCAGTCTTCCATTCCTTGAGCGGCAGTGGCAGCAGTAGCAGAACCAGCCAGCGGCACTGGGAGATCCCCGGCTGCTGTGGCTTGCAGCAGGCACCCCGTGGGACTCGGTGGAGGTGGCGGAACACTCGGGCTGCGGTCGGTGGCAAAGGGACAAAGCTCCACTTCCTAAACCATGGCAAGAACACCAAGCCGGCGGTGTTGGGACGTGCCTGGTGGCCGTGGCCTGCAACAGGCCAGGTGGAAGTGGTGGGCTGCAGCTCACACTAACCGTGGTCGAATTTGATGGCAGCAAAGAAGCCAGTGGCCCTGGGTAATCCCTGGCAGCCGTGGCTTCCAGCAGACTACTGCGGGACTCTAGAGAGCCCCAACTTTAACTGGAGGTGGCCAGGACAATGGTGAGACCCATGGCATTTCCTGGCCATGAGGACCCCGGCGTGAACTGCAAGGCCAGGAGGACCCAACAGAACCTTGGTAGGCGCCCGAGGGCTTCTAAGGGTTGGGAGGTGACTTGGGGCAGTAGGCGATTCACACCCCCCAGCAGTACAGGAGAACTGAAAAGGGAGTATTTACCTTGCTCACCCCCTTTGTCCATAGTATGGAGGAGGGAAGACAAAAGTGAAACCAGGCTAGGTCTGGAAGCAGGGCCGGCCCAATCACTAGGCCTGCTAGTATCTCGCCTAGGGCGGAGATACTAGCACGGCGCCAATTCCCCTGCCCCCTCACCAAAAGCCCCCACCCTGCTCAAAGCCCACCCGGCCCCTTCCCACATGCAAAAGCGCCCCCGGGTGTAGCGACAGGGATGGGGCTGCCGGTGGCGGGGTGCTTGCGGGGCTTGCTGATGAGGCAGTGATGAGAATCGGTGGTGGGTGGGGGGTTAGCGAGAGTAAGGGAGAAAGAGGCAGGGATGGCACCTTCGTGTGCCATGTCTGCATCTGCTGGAATGCCGCTCGCCCAGGGGTCCCAGTGGGGCCACGCCGCGCCGCACACCCTTGCTGTGCCTCTCCACACTGCTGGGCTGGGCTGGCCCCTGCAGGGAACGGGAGGCTGAACACAAACACCCCAAGCAGCCCCGGGCCAGCCCCAGGTGGGTCAGCACACCAAGCCAACCTGGGCTCGGGGTTGCCGCCACCACCAT